TCCACGTGTCTTTCTCCATTCTACGGCGACACTGCAAATAAGGCGTGGTGCGGCCGGATGACCTCACAATCGCAAAGCAGAGCTGATCATACAATGAAACAGCAGACGCGACTTTTCAACTTTAGTGAAACGTCACGTCAGTAGCATAACTGTTTTAGTCCTGTGTACGCTGCTCGAGCCTTTGAAATGCGGACGGTTATCGCCTTCGATGCAACACCGCCGTTGGTCACGCAGCTACCAAAATACGAGAAACAGTCAAATTCAGCTAATTCCTGACCGTCTAGTTTCAGAATGGGACTCCACGACACCCAGTCTTGCGGTATCACTTTGAAGGTGCAAAGCGCAAGCCGAACAAATCAACGGAATTCGCTAGTCTATCAAGTTCGATTTGTGCATCCTCTATACATTCGAACAGAAGACGATGTCGTCAGTGTACCCTAAATAGCACAGCTTTTTCCCAGCTGTCCGTTNTTCAATACCGAAATTTTGGAGACCACTTAGTGCGTTATTCAGTATTTTTTCTATGGAGAAGTTGAACAGGAAGGACGAAATAAAGCATCCTTGATGAACACCGCCGCTAGTTACGAATGATCTGCTCAGCTTCCAATAGACCCTTGCGCTACCAGAAGTATGCGAGTAGAGTGAACTCAGTAAGTTCACGTACTTCTGCGGCATTCATTTGTGAAGGAGCAAACCCATAAGGGACTAGGCGATTCACAAACAGATCAAGGTTGTTCAGAATGAGCACAATCAACATGTAATGAATAATTATCTGTTTTCAAGTCACCAACTGGCAACAGCTGAAGTTTATTCTGACCTTGATGAACACTAGTCAGTACCCGAATGATTTGCACGAAACTGATCCCACCAGTTCCTCCATGTCCTCTACTGTTTTGGCTGAGTCAACTCACCTCAATCCGACGTGTTATCGATTGTGTGATGGCTGTTGTCTGTTTTGAGTTGTGAGTTGTCTTCACTAATTGAGTTACAAACCTGTGGTTGAGAAACGATTATAACACGAATGATTTTCATGACATTACATGATATCATGAGAAGAATTGACGAAGGGATTAAAAAGAGCTAAAAAGTACAAGTAGTATATTAGAAAGAAATTTACGAAGCACACAGAACCGAAGCAATATGAAAATGTCTAAGAACTATTAATACAGCACACTGTAATTGTGCTCTTGTGGAGCCGATTTTTTGGACCTGCGTTCAGCTCAGACTGAATGCAAAAGATGTTTGTCGCGTGTTGACTACTCAAGAACGATTGTTTACGGAAATTATCTTACCCGCGTGCTTTACAAATGACAAGTTCATTCGCGTAGCTCATTCACAAGGAATGTGATGTACCTATGAAATACTGCGTCACGCCTACACATACAACGGACCAACCATATTCGAGTGTTACTGCACGAAACATGATTGGTTTGTTCCAAGCGATATTCAGATTTTCACAAACAGAAAACACATAAAGGCCATGATTTGTGTCGATGATATGAACCGCTTCAAGGTGGATGATAAAAATGAAGACGGTAAAATTCGTGAAAATCGGCGCAATAGTTTTCCTGGTGTTCTCCTCCATTCTCCTCCTCAATCGGTGGATGAAAGCTTCTCCCTCGGACAGTGTCAAAGCTGCGGTTTTCTCTTTGCAACCGATTACGCCTGTGTTGAATTATGGTAGTCGTTGGCAACGCTTTGGTTGTGAGTGGCCCCCAAAGTCGGTGGAGAATATTCGAAACCCTAAAACAGGACTATTCAATTTGGCCATTCAGCCATGTGTCGGAAAACAGAATGTCAAACATCATTCGGACACTTGGTGGGAACGATATTATAAATTGTTGAACATTCTGTATCCTGGAAATTTGCCGAACGGATCTCTGACACATAGAGCTCGTATCATGGAACGTAAGCTGCGTGTTAATCCAGCTGAATACAATTTTCAGCTATACCCGCAATTAATTGATGTCAAAGAAACAGTTTCACTAATTCGTCAAGGACAAGAAGTGTTTCGAGTGAGTGTGTTACCTATCTGTAGGTAAATTATTCAAATTCATGTTTACGGTACACTCATCATCATCACCATTCTTGATCCTGACTTCATGCTACTTTTACGGAGCAACGTTCTGCTCCATGCAATATGTTGATCCGTGAGTACAAGTTATGGTGAACTGCGCCAGTCGTAATCCGCTCACGTGACTCGTGAGACGTTCGATCGGTTGTTTGGTTAGGATTGATCACCTTCTCTGATACTTTGCCAACCGGGCGTGACCGGAAATTATACAGTCTGAGCACCTATGCGCAGAAACCGATTTATTTGTGCCTGATCAATTTAGGTCGATGGATTAAAAGATAATCAGAGTCAGTCACGATACATAACAGAGACGAATACCGGATTATTTGAAAGAGTCGGTCAATATGTTTTCAAACCCTTTTATCAAAGGTATTGGGTCATTGGGCCGTTTTCCAAACATTTATCGAAGAATTTTAACAACCAAAATGATGACTCAGTCAATTATATGTTTACTGAACTTGTCTACACAGTTCCACAAAGCATATTTCAAATAGAACAACGAGTGGCGAATAAGATCGTTATCAGTGATTCTTAATTTTGCCAAATACACCACAATAAATATATATAAATAAAATAATATATATGTAATAATAAATAAATGTTTATAAATAAATCAGTATTCAACCATAAAAAGACAAATTACTGTTTTGGGAAAGGGGAAGTAACATCTTGGGTTAGCTGGGGCTAATTTCGTCTTGAAACCGGATGTGGAGTTCTCAATGATCACATCATTTTCAAATAGAACAAGGAGTGGCGAACAAGCTCGTTTTCAGTGATTCATAGTCATGCCAAATACATCACAATAAATATTACGCTGTTTATATATAAATCAGTATTCAATCATAAAAAACGTAAACAAATGTTTCGGGAAAGGAAAAATAACCTCATGGATTATCTGGGGCTAAGTTCATCTTGGGACCGGATATGGAATTCTCAATGATCGCATGATTGTTAGGTCATCCGATCGTTGGGACCACTCGGAATATGGGGTGTATAGGGGGTGGGCCAGGGGAGCTTAAGCGCCTGCACAAATTGTTTTTGGGCACACAAAGGGGAGTGGTGCAGCCGAATTCCTACCGCTTCCGCTGTGGCTAGCATAAGACAGCGAACCTGCCTTGATAATCGACCACGAACCCGATACAGGGGACGGAATGCCTCGGTCACATTCGCAGTGTGATTTGTTTTAGCTAGGTGTGAAACCACTGCACTAGTGAGTGACTTAATCGTTCCCGTGTTTAGCCATGAGGGGTGGTGTTCACTTTTATTGTGACCTGAAATGCGCGCAGTTGAGTGACAATTTTTTTCAAATAAAATTTGCCTGATCAAAGATCTTGGCCTGTATCTCGAGATCGCGATGCAGATGCCCCAGTTACTTCTTACTTAAACAACGAGTTTACCGTCAATACAAACCTATGAATAAACATTTGTCTTCCTTGAGGTGGTCTAATTATATTATTTCCCTATCGCAGGGATAGCTTTGTTACTTTTAATAGATAAACAGCTAGAAAAACATCTATTTGAATCCGATATCTAGGACTGCATCGGATTAATCTAAAAATGATCCCATTTGCTAGTTGGCACTCAAGAGGATTGGGAAGCAGTGGCTGTTCGTAGGGTAAATTTATACGTACCCTGTTGCAGATGTTTGAGAAATCAGTTAGATTTGAATGGGGTCTTTGATGATCTTGCTTGAACAACATTATCCTACTTGTCTACGGGCGAGGATTTTATTCACAAGTGAGAGACAAAGTCCACCCATAAAGCCTACGTGTGTGTGATAAAGGAGGCTCCATCCGAACTGACCACTGATATGCATTAAAGTAGTTAGTTGCTGAATACGGTTGTCTGAAAATTGTTCTACTATTATCACGGTGCAGTAAACCAGACGCACACCCACTACGCATGCGCACACATATTAACCTCCCCACACACACACCGCCCACACACAAACACTCCCAGGCTGACACGCACTGCTCCCTTCCAGCGGTAGAACCAGCTGCGTTCTGAATGATTGGCCCCGGGCCACACGTCACCGTCAACTATCACAGATTAATGTGCCCCGTTTGTGAAATCGTTTTTGGTGTAATGCTAGCTGTCTTGAACGTGTTCGCCTACTGGTTGTACATATTCCGCTGTTTTTAGAACTGGGATTTATCACAGTTAGGGGTTTACATTTTCTCACAGCGTTATAATATGTATTTTGGTACCGTGTTGAAGAAGTAACTCTGTTTGTTGCACGACCGCGTCTTTTGGGTGTTTTACGCACTACTCTACGTGGATCGGCAAAGCCTGTGAGGACAACTGTAGAACAACTATGTGCTCAAATTCGGCACTCAAACTCGTTAATTTAATTTCCTCATCTTGACATCGTGCCATGAGACTGCCTGTATCGTGTTTCAGTTTGAAAAACGGCACTTCACATTTGCTCTCTTTGGGACGCCAGCGATCCTGAATTAGAAACTGAAAAATCTGGATACTGACGAACAAGAAAACACTGAAAATTATATCAACTTCACCTTGTATATTCACCTCTCACTTCGAGGGGATCAGTACTCTATAAGACTAACACACAGTACAGATGAGTTGGAAAGGAATACCCAAGAATCCCCGGAAAATCTAAGTTATATGAGAATTATCTTATGAAGGATTAGCTTTCGAGCTGAAAAACATTACCAATCAGATGACAATGAATCCGGATTTACCAGGAGGCGCTAATGGGAAAGACGCCAAACAAGTGCTTGTCGTAAAATCGAGAGCCAGATTATGCTGAAATCCAACTGCACCTTTTCTCATCAGCCAAAACCCGCTATGCTTTAATCTTAATCCACTATCAGCTGGTGAATGATTTCGAATTCGATCTTGCTATTCAGGTGAGGTACTGTTAATTCTTCTACTGCAACCTTGTACCAGTTCATACATCTCATGCCTCTCAATGCCAGAAGTTTGTAGGCAAGTACATTCGATTCGAAAGAAGCAATGCTATTTGGGTGAACCTTTTCTTCAAAAGAATTTATTCAATAGGCTGTTGAGAGCCTAGACTGAACACACTCATCCAAGGAATATACTGTAGAATACCGCCGATTCTTAAATGCACGCCATCTGAATCCTTGGAGCGGGTTATTTGCGCTTGCTGCGGCCATTTAAGGCACTGCAAGTGGATTTGTCGGCAGAGACGAAGCGTCTTCCCCTGTGACTTTTCTGTTCGCTGGCGGTACTCACTAATAAAGCCTCGGTGACAGGGTCCTCCGCAGGGCAGTTCACAGTTTGGCTCGAGTTCTTCTACAAACGAATCGCTTGCGTTCGCAATACGGAATTTTGGGGACATTGAGATAGGGTGATTCTCACAACTGCAGAGCTCTGTACTGCCGTGTGGGATGATTCTATCAACGACATGTAACCAAAGGAAACAAATCAGAAAATAGAGCCTTTGCACGACGTTCGACGGATTTTGTGTAGGATGGTAACACACACGTCCGCTTAGCATGATCGGGACACACGATTGATCTATATGTTTACAGAAAGATGGTGACGAAACAAACTGATAACTTCCACGGTCACTGCATCAAGTGTAATTATGAATTTTGTTCAGCTAGATTTATCGTTTTAACTGATCGAATGCTGCCTTGGGAGCATAGTTCATTTTCGGCAACCAGCGTAGATCACTTTGGGCGAAAACTAGCGGTGGTCACCATTATCATTTTTCTTACTTAACTGTTATTACTTAATCCACAAGTCTACTACTTACAATGGAACCCCAGTGGAAATAAAGTGGTCATCTTCAACGTAACGTTTCTACCAACATTTATAGTTGCTTCCGTGCATTGCTCACGTAGTCAAGACCCAGTTCGGCCTTAAGATGACAATGTTGATGATGGAGCGGCTTATCACACTGTGGAGTTGTCAAAATGCTCGTGACCCAATGCGGATTACTCTAAGAAAAGGGTCGTCTATCTGAGATTTGGTCTAAACAACAATTTTTATCTGAGATGTTATTACATGAATGTTTTTAATTTAAACTAAAAGCTCTAATTATAAAATATCTTGTGATTTAAGTTATAGAATAAGCTTTTTAACGCGTATTCAAATAAAATGAACTGTATAAAATTGTTTTTTCGTACAACGTCGACTGAAGCGAACCTACTTGGATCGCATATGATGGAATCAGTCGAGCTCGGAGGTCAGTGGTCACATTAATTTGCTATGGAAAACATTTTTGCTCAAAATATACAGAAAAATTCCGTCTTCAGAATGGGACCTGCTATCAAACATAGTCACTACTTGCAGTACGAAATAGCCACCAACATGTTTCCAATGAATATGATCCAAACACTTCGTGAATCAGCTTGTAAAAGAGAAAACGCTACTCACTTTACGCGTGCTCTTCGATTAGGTGTACTACACTTGCACAGTCCCTGACAGATGGTAGGAATTTTCACGTTTTCACTCTATATAATACATCACTGTTCTATATTTACATTACATTTATCTAAAATGTGCCAGAACATTTGTTGATGGTTCATTGATTCCAGGTTCTCACCGTCCAATACGCAAGCGCTGGCAATTTGCCTTTAACTGCATTCGTTTTGGCCAGGATTACTGTTCCCATATTGGTTAGCAGTAATATTTGGTCCCTGTTTCCAAGACCTATCGCCTGAGGCGCGCCCTTCGATTGGTTGCGCCACACTTATTCCCTCTCGGATTTATTTCATTTTTGGTAAATACTACATAATGACTAGTCGAAAGGTGTATTTGCTCCCTCAGTTAATGAATTTTAAGCACGATTAGCTCAATACTGTCTTTTATGTCCTCGTTAACTCACTTTCGGAATCCTACTCAAAAGAAGACAACACGAGGTGGATTGATCGAGTACATCAACTCTTCTTGGAGTGGTAAGTTGGAAGTTATTTTTGACTAATCCGCCGATGGCATCGATTGCTTAGCTATTCAATGTTGCCTTAGATTTTCGTGATACAAATGCACAATCATTACCAATTTATATAAGGAACCCTTTTAAATCCAGTCTCACATTTCATCGTTCTCTGAAGCAACCATACCGTCTTTCGTTCCCTTGATAAATGAAAGTCTCTAGATTTTTGTTGATGTCTTTAATCACGCTCCCACTTATTCCAGCACCTCTTTTGACCTAACTGATATTTGTTTATCCCCTATATGATGTGATTCATTTTTAGACAAAGTACTTATCATTCACTCGGAAAACTTTACCCTAAAACTAACAGTACACGTTTTCATAAGTGGTCACACCTGGATTGTAATAGCACTCACGGTGTACACCCATCTCATTCACAACGCACTCACAATAACTAACCAAATCAGTATTTGCCTTCGTAATCCTTCCCCAGATACACTCTTCTTAGGCATTTCATTAGTTTTATTTCTGTCCTCCTCTACATTTTACA